CCAGGCAGATCACCAGATGTGGATTTATGCGGTATCCCAGGGCAGATCACCAGATGTGGATTTATGTGGTATCCCAGGCAGATCCGTGCTGGGCTTTCCTTGAACACACTTCTCACCAAGAGCTTCTCAAGCCTGTGGGTTTGTAGGTGCTGCTCTTTGTGCACAGCCCCAGTGGCCAAGGAGAGATTGCAGGAAGGAGCCCAGATGCAGCCACACCATGTCCAGGAGAGGAAGCCAGGCAAGCAGGAAATCAGACACCCAAACCCGGCACAGGCACAGCGGTTACAACCAACGGAAAATCCCGCAGAGACAAAGTGCTTCGGCATGGCTTCCTCCTCCCCCCTCTCAGAATGCCACATGGACAAAAAATGTTTGTCATCTACATGTAATGAGGGGTATGAGTAATTATCAGAGAGGAACCCAAGCAACACCCAGAAACACAATTATCCTATTGACAAAGATAGATTTTTATCCAGTCGACGATGGAGAACTTTTTGAATTTCTTAAAGTTCACATGGAAAAATGAACATGTATGAATAGCCAGAAAATTTGTTTAAAAGGCAACAAGATGAAGAGTGGGTGGGTTTTGCTTATTAAGCTGTTGAAACATATTATAAACTAGAGGTAAATTCCTTATAAACAAACAGTTGAAGAAAATAGATTCCAGATACCCCCATGCACATGAGACTCTAGTAAAGACCGTTCTTTCACTTGTACAGTTTAGAAAATTATTTCTTATGACAAAAGAGGTACGTTAAAAGAATTGTAGACCCGACAAAGTTATTTTTACTTCAAGTACTTCAACCACAGAGATGCTTTTATAATTATAAGGGAATGCATAGAGGATGTCTACGTCACAGAGCAATTTCCAAATCATTATACCTTTACCTTCTTACTTATACCTTTTTTCCTTATTATTATCAGCAAACCTTTTAGATGTTGTCCATCATCTCTGATGCCCCTGTATTTATGATAAACAGAAAAGAGCTCTTCCTTAATGCAGAGTGCTAGTTTTAGATGTGTTGTAACCAGTTGTCACCTACCTAACATGAAGCTAAAGTGTCAGGGAAAAAGTCAGTATCACTGTGAAGGGAAGCGCCCCTGCCTACACCCCTCCCC